CTCTCCCTCCCTCTCTCCCTCTCCCTCTCCCTCTCTCTCTCCCTCTCTCTCTCCCTCCCTCTCTTCCTCTCTCTCCCTCTCCCTCCCTCCCTCCCTCCCTCCCTCTCTCTCTCTCTCTCCTTTTAAAAATAGAAGAAAGAAAAATAAAAGAGAATCTTTGGAGGTCAGTGTTGAACTGTGGGATCCTTGGTGGTTTTCTTAGAGACGTTTCATTACCCAGCTAAATAACATCTTCAGTGCCAGAAGGGAGTGGGGTTTGTGGAAAGGAGGAGGAGGAGGTGGGGGGAAGGATGACTGTGATTTTGGACCAACTTACCAGGAGACAGTGAATTGTAGTCCTGCCTTAGACATGAAAGCTGGCTGGGGGACAGGGAATTCTAGTCCTATGGAAGTCCTATGGAAGGGGAATTCTAGTTCCATGGAATTTGTAGCCAGGAAAAGCAACTGGGTGACTTTGAGCCAGATCCCTTCTCTCAGCCCAAACCACCTCACAGGGTGGTTGTGCAGAAAATAGATGGCGGAAGGAATATTAAATATGTTCACCATTTGAGTCATTTATAAAAACAACAACAATAAAGGTGGTGTGTGTGTGTATAAACAAACAAACAAACAAACAAAAGAGTTGGAAGACATCCTTGAACTATCTCCCTGTGCTCCAGATTAAACTATCTTCCCCAGGTGGACATTAGGGGATCCAATTCAACTCAACTCAACTCAACACAACTCAACACAATTCAACACAGCACAACTCAACACAACGCAATACAATTCAGCTCAACTCAACTCATTCCCCTAGTAACCACCTGCTTCTGTTCTCAGGAATGTCATGTCAAACATTCAATTCAGGCTCTCTACTTTCTGTCCTTGGCTCAGTATCACGACTGACCTCCGCACACACGGGGCCAATCTGTTTACTTACATAGTTTCATCGTCCTTGAATTCTAGTTCCCCACAGGAGTCCTCATAGTCCACACCCCCTCCTTGAGCCGTTCCCTCCACCGTCTGGTAGGGGACCATCACGGTTCCTCGGGCCCCCGAGCTCCGGGTGACCTTGACCTCCAGGGTCCCTTGGCATTCACTGACCCTTAACAGTTTGTCCTGGAAAGCAAAAATGCCAGCATGGTCATCATCCAGAATAGTCACAGTGGCCACCAGCGGGGCCACCAGGCGTCCCTTAGGGTGCTCAGCAGAGTCCGACTCAAACATGCCTTCCGCGTCGCCCACCCGCAGGTTGAGAAGCCGGACGAAAAAATGTTCATCTTCTTCGAAGATGTCATCATCAATGATGCCGATCTTCAACTCCTTCTGGGTCTCGCCGGGTTTGAAGATCAAGGTGCCCTCGCTGTACTCATAATCTGAACCTGCTTTGGCTGAACCATCTTCGGTCTTGTAGTCTACGTAGAACGTGTTGTAGGAGTCTCCACCTTGCTGGCAAGTCACGGTCAACGTGACCGAGCCGCAGTTCTCCAAGCAGTGGTACATGAATGGTTCAAAGAAGATCTTGCTGTAGTTCTCCTCCACCTCGGCTTCTGAAGGCACGTCCAGAAGGTTGGTGGACTTCTTGGAGAATTCCGTGACATGTTTCTTGAGGATGTTGCCTGCCCCAGTCATCATACGTGTCGCCTGGATGCGGTAGAAAGCCCGACTCTTCTGTTGATGCAGTAGAGCGTAGTAGTTGGCAATCTCCACCAGCTGCTCCAGCTCTTTATCGGGGTGCTTCTGCTTGAGGTCTTTGAGGATCTGGATAACCTCTTTGCGACTCTCGTCCAACTCTTTCTCCTCCTGGGTGACGACGGGAAGGGGAGCCACGGACGCTGCGCTGCCATCTACATAGACATTCTCTCGGTGGTCATTGGCCACAAATCCTCCATCCATCTCGATGCCTTTGGGGAACTCCCCCTCCGTTCCAATGATGATCCCACTGCGTGGGTCTGCCCTATATCTCTTGTAGACATACTTGTAGAACAAGAGACGTTTGTCAGCTATCCAGGCGAAGACGACGCACACTGGGAAGAAGACCAGGGTCAACAGGGCCTCCCAGACTTGGACGATCCCTGGTGAGAAGACAGCCAAGATCAGGTACAACCAGATGTAGGCGAAGATGCTCCAGGAAGCGGTGACAAAGAAGACCCTCAAGTGCTTGATCTTGCGGCTCTCGCCGTTGGGGATGACGTAGACGCAGACGGCGATGACCACAAACATGTTGAAGGCTGCGCTGCCCACAATTGTGCCAGGACCCAGTTCCCCTGCCTGGAAGTTATGGCCACAGACCTCGATGACAGACAGAAGGATTTCAGGAGCTGAGGAACCCAAAGCCATGAGGGTGAGGTTGGAGACAGTCTCGTTCCAGATCCTCACGGTGCCAATGCTGGTCTCCCCGTTGGCTTTGGTGATGGTGATCTCCTTCTCTTTGGATGTGATGACTTCGATGGAGGCCATGAAGCGGTCCGCAATGATGGAGACCCCCAGGAACATGTACATCATGGCCACAAAGTAGACAATGGCCCGGGCAGCCTTGTCTCCAAAAGAGGGGTTGTCCGGCTGCCAAACCGGGAGGAGCACTCCGGGTTGACATTGAGTGTAGCCTTCGCAGGTGCCGTTCACTTCCGGGTCAAGTTCTTTGGCACCAACCCAGGAGACATTCCCAGCACAAAAGACCCCGGCGACCAAGATTTTGGTAAGAAAGGAAGAGGAGACCCTCAGCGGCCACCACGGAAGATGCATCCTTCTTGAGTTGTTGAGGGCCACAGGATCTGGGAGAGAAGAGAAGAAGAAGGAAGAAACATTAGCATTCTTGGGAGATGCCCTCCAGGGTTAAGGCACCAGACTAGAAAGAAGGAGACATGAGTTCTAGTTCTGCCTTAGCCATGAAAGTCAAGTTTGGGCCAATCACCAAGAGATTGGGAGTCCTAGTCCCGCCTTAGGTAGGAGTCCTAGTCCCGCCTTAGGTAGGAAACCTAGCTGGGTGACTTTGGGCCAATCACAGGGAGACTGGGAGTTCTAGTCCCGCCTTAGGCATGAACTCCAGTTGCGTGACTTTGGGCCAATCATCAGGAGACTGGGAGTTCTAGTTCTACCTTAAGCAGGAAACCTAGCTTTGGGGTGACTTTGGGACAATCATCAAAAGATGGTGAGTTCGAGTCCCCCCTTAGGCATGAAAGCCAGTTGGGTGTCTTTGGGCCACTCCTCCCCTCTCATTCCAATGCATCTCACAGGGCTGTTGTTGTGGGGGAAATAGGAAGAGGCAGTTATGTTGAATATGTTCTCTGCTTTGGTAAGACCACACTTGAAATATTGCATTCAGTTTTGGTCACCTCGATACAAAAATATGACGCCGAGGCTCTAGAAATAGTGCAGAGAAGACCAACCAAGATGGGGGTAACCCTTATGATGAATGGTTACAGGAACTAGGTGTGCCTAGTCTAGTTTAGTCTAAGTCTAACAAAGAGAAGAACTAGGAGTGACGTCATAGCAGTGCTCCAATATTTGCCACAGAGAAGAAGGAGTCAAGCTATTCTCCAAAGCACCTGAAGGCAGGACAAGAAACAAGGGATGGAAACTCACCAAGGAGAGAAGCAAGCTAGAATTAAGGAGAAACTTCCTAACAGGGAGGAAAATTAACCAGTGGAACGACTTGCCACCAGAAGTTGTGGAAGCTTCATCACTGGAGGCTTGTAAGAAGAGACTGGACAGTCACTGGTCTAGAATGGTAGAGGGTTTCCTGCCTGAGCAGGGGGTTGGACTAGAAGACCTCCAAGGTCCCTTCCACCACTCTCATTCTACACTCCGAGTTCAAATCCTGTCCTAGCGACATTTTGTGCACCTCTTTAGGTGACCTCACTTTGTTTACTTCGCTATCCGGCAAGTAAACAAATGAGTCATTTGCCCACTCAGATAACAAGTTAGCAAGGGAAGGGGGAAGATTCTTTTTTTTAAATCTGCTTTTAAAACAATTCCTGGAGGAACACAATATTTAAAGAGGTATAGCAATAAATAGTGGTAAGCAGGGAGGGAAGAGAGAGACTGACAGACAGACAGAGACAGAGACAGAGAGGGGGGAAGACAAAGAGAGGAAAAGGAAGAGAGAGAGAGAGGAAGAGAGAGAGGGGGAGAAAAGGGAAGACAGAGAGAGACAGAGAGAGAGAGAGAAAGAGAGGAAGAGAGAGGGGAAGACACAGAGAGACAGACAGAGAGAGAGAGGAAGAGAGAGGGGAAGACAGAGAGAGAAAGAGGAAGAGAGAGAGAGACAGAGACAGAGAGAGAGAGAGAGAGGAAGAGAGAGAGAGAGAGAGGGAGAGAGGGGCAAGACATAGAGAGACAGAGACAGACAGAGACAGAGAGAGAGAGGAAGACAGAGAGAGAGAGGAAGACAGAGAGAGAGAGGAAGACAGAGAAAGAGAGAGAGGAAGAGAGGGAGAGGAAGAGAGAGGGGAAGACAGAGAGAGAGAGAGAGGAAGAGAGAGAGAGAGAGAAAGACAGAGAGAGAGAGGAAGACAGAGAGAGACAGAGAGAGAGAGGGGGGAAGAGAGAAGGGAAGACAGAGAGAGACAGAGAGAGAAAGAGAGAGAGAGAGGAAGACACACACACAGAGAGAGAGGAAGACAGAGAGAGACAGAGGGAGAGAGAGAGAGAGGAAGAGAGAAAGAGAGAGGAAGAGAGAGAGAAAGAGAGAGAGGAAGAGAGAGAGAGA